ACAACTTATGAGTTGGTCTAGTGAGCTAATGACTGTTAGTTATGTTTATTGTATTTCTAAAACTAATCTTTATTGAGGGAACGAGTTTCCTTAAGAAACATTAGTTATGCCCACTATCCAGGTTTACAGTGTAGGTAGTAGTAGTTTGGTTTAGTTTATTATTGTTGTCACATACACAATACATGCAGTCAAGTTATAATGTACCGTTCAGGACAGTCTCCGAGACACACAACAGATACACAGAGTAGGGACTGGTTTAAGAGTTCACTTTTTAATATTTGTATTTGAATAAACTCTATAAGGATGTCATCAGAACAGACATCATGCACTCTCTGCTCTCTACTGACTCTCTCTCTGGTCTTTCTCTGCTCTCTCTCTGGTCTCTATCTCTGGTCTATCCTTCTCTGATCAATCTCTCTGGTCTCTCAATCTGGTCTCTCACTCTGGTCTCTATACCTGGTCTCTCACGTTGATCTCTGTCTCTGGTCTCTCGCTTTCTGATCTCTCTCTCTCTTGTCCCTAACTTTGATCCCTATCTGTAGTCTCTCACTCTCTGGTCTCTCGCTCTGGTCTTTCACTCTGGTCTCCATAGTCCTGTTTGTGGACTTCAGCTCTGCCTTCAACACAATCCTGCCATCCCTGCTCCAGGACAAGCTCTCCCAGCTCAACGTGCCCGATTCCACCTGCAGGTGGATCACTAACTTCCTGACGGACAGGAAGCAGCGAGTGCGTCTGGGGAAGAATGTCTCGGACCCTCGCATTATAAATACAGGAGCCCCACAGGGCTGTGTTCTTTCTCCCCTGCTCTTCTCCCTGTACACCAACCACTGCACCTCCAGCCACGACTCCGTGAAGCTGATCAAGTTCGCGGACGACACCACCCTCATTGGACTCATCTCCAACAACGATGAGTCCGCCTACAGGAGGGAGGTGGACCGGCTGGTGTCCTGGTGCAGTGTAACATCCTGGAGCTGAACGCCCAGAAGACAGTGGAGATGATTGTGGACTTCAGGAAGAGCACTGTCCCCCCGCCCCCACCCTCCGTGATGGACTCCCCCATCACCTCTGTGGAGTCCTTCCGTTTCCTGGGCACCACCATCACCCAGGACCTCAAGTGGGAGCCGACCATCAGCTCCCTCATCAAGAAGGCCCAGCAGAGGATGTACTTCCTGCGGCAGCTCAGGAAAGCCAAGCTGCCTGCACAGATGTTGGTGCAGTTCTACACGGCCATCATCGAGTCCATCCTCACCTTCTCCATCACCGTGTGGTTCGCTGGAGCCACAGTCAGGGACAAACAGAGACTACAGTGCATTGTGCGCTCTGCAGAGGAAGTGATCGGCCGCAGCCTTCCATCGCTGCAGGACCTGTACGTCGCCGGAGCTCGAGGCCGGGCTGGTCGTATCACAGCCGACCCCTCTCACCCTGCACATGGACTATTCCAATCACTCCCCTCAGGCAGGAGGCTGCGGTCCATCAAGACTAGAACCTCCCGCCACAAGAACAGTTTCTTCCCCTCTGCTGTTGGACTCTTGAACACTTCTTAACCTGTCCCCCCGCCCTTTATAAAGTCACTTTACTGCTGATCATACGTCACTTTACTTCACTGTACTGCTGTCACCTTACATTGTGTGCACCATGTGCACTTGTATATTGTAAATAGTAACTGTAACTCTATTTTAAATTTAAATGTATTCTTTAGAAGTGTTTTTTATTCTTATTTTTATTATCTCTTTTTGACTGTTGCACTGAGCCAAAGCAATTTCCTAGTCTGTTACTTACGTGGCAATAAAAATGATTCTGATTCTGATTCTGATTCTGATTCTCTCACTATGGTCTCTAGCTCTGGTCTCTATCACTGATCTCTCTCTGGTCTCTTTCTCTAATCTCTCTCTCTCCATACCTTATTGATAGCATGTGATTGTTAAAGCTATACAATCATATACCAGCAACTTGGCAACAGACAAAGCAGAAGAAAATGAATAGACGTCTTCTTTAGAGATTAGAGCTTCCCTTTCTGTCTCTCTCTCCCTGAACCAGACCCAACGCAACATTCCGAGAAGAATGAACGTTTGAGAGAGAGATTCCGACAGCATTTGGTCGGCATACTGTAACAGCTTATTGACGAGTAGCTTTCTCGCTTTAGCCTGAGTTAATACTAAGTTTCAATCTACAATTAATTAAAATACACTCCCACTTTTCCCCAGATCAATAGTGCAGTAACCCTGAACGTGAGCGATGTACATCCACACACACTGCTTTAAAGGGTCGATACTTGGCCCTGTCGCTCCTCACAAAGACGCTCCGGACTCGATGACTCTTCAATAACAATTAGCCGTTGCCCAAAAGCAAAGAGAGCAAACGTCACGGTCCTTCAGCAAGTTATAGGATCGCAAATTACAGAAATATCCCAAGTTTAGGATGCTCAACATCTTTCATATCAGGATCTACGAGACAGATATTATCTAAAAATTTAAGTTCAGTTTTTTCAATTTCTCTCCGTCGCAAGGACAATCATCCATTCGATTACAATACAGAAACTCTGAACTGGACTTGGCTGCATTCATTTTGTCACTATCTCCATGTATCTGTTACTACATGTGCTGCTCTTTCTGGTCTCTCTGATGTCTCTCTCGAATCTCTCTGGTCTCTTTGATGGTCCCGCTAGTCTCTGTCAGGTCTTTCTCTGATCACCCTCCTTCTCTGGTATCTCGCTGGTCTCTTTCTCTGGTCTCTCTCGGGTCTCTCACGTCACTCACTGGTCTCTCTCTCGCTGGTCTCTCTCGGGTCTCTCTGGTCTCTCTTTGGTCCATCTCTTGTCTCTCTGATCGCTCTTTAGTCCCTCTCTCTAGTCTTTCTGGTCCCTGTCTCTGGTCTCTCTCTGATGTCTCTCACGTCTCTCTCTGGCCTCTCTCTCTGATCCCTTTCTCTGGTCTCTCACGTCTCACTCTGGTCTCTCTTTGGTCCATCTCTTGTCTCTCTGGTCACTCTTTAGTCCCTCTCTCTAGTCTTTCGGGTCCCTGTCTCTGGTCTCTCTCTGGCCTCTCTCTCTGATCCCTCTCTCTGGTCTCTCTCTGGCCTCTTTGGTGTCTATTTCTGTCTTTCTCTGATCTCTCCTGTCTTTTAGTTGCTAGACTCATTATCTCCTTGTCTCTGTTACCGTGTTGCTCATGTTCATATTGGGTTATTTATTGTGGGGGATCCTGAGGTCTATGGATTTTACTTCAAACTGTGCAGTGTTGCTGATACTCTAAACATCATTCTGTTTCTCTGTGACATTTGGGTATTTCTGTAAATCCTGTACACATTTCTGAAGTTCTTGTTGCTCCATCTACATGACTCACTTTGACTTGTCGGTAAAACACTTTAGCTACGATTTGGCACAAACTCTGTCTAAGTGCTTGTAACTCAATCCTTAGATGTCAGCCATTTTCTCTCTCTTTAAATTGGCTCCGAATTAGTTTGGGGAATTTCTCCAGTGCTGTTTTTTACTGTAAGCCGTTTCAGAGGACTTCACAAGGGTGACGATTAACAAACAATAGATCAGAGAATCAAACACCAATAACAGCAAACACCAGAAAGGTGTCATTGGTCCATAGAGAGCGGGATGACCACGGTCCAGATGTGTTAAATGCCCTGGATCATTACTGTCCTTAGACCGTCCTAAATCAGAGTGTAACTGCTCAGAATAAAAAAATAATCCAGAGCACTCACTGGACTCTCACATGCACCTGTATGAAACTGCATCCATGACCTTGTTAAAAAAAGTAAATGTTGTCCAAACACAGGCCACAATCCATGTTAGGCACTGGTTTTCACTTATAGCCTACAAAGCATCACAAAGCTGATAGACGACTGTTTTTTCATTCAAAACATGATTTAATGATGAGAAGATTAACCACAGTTTAACCGCCTCAACAGGGACATATTCACCTTCATCTAATTTGACAATAAATGAGAGTCCTATAATAACGCATTGGTTAAATATAGCACTTTTTTTGGGCGCTTCACGTGTCATTAATCGTTCACTCCAAACACGGTGGTGATAAACTACTACAGTAGCCACAAATTCCCAGGGGGACAATAACAGAAGTTAGGCAACCATCATCCCCTCCCACCAGCACCAACCATTCACACACACAACAGACTCATATTAATGTGGGTGTTGCCTAAGGACACAACCACAGTTTAGCACTTTACAGCCGCAATCCCCCCCCACACTTTGGATCCTGGTGTTCCCAGAGGTCTCCTATCACAGTACTCAGCAGGCCCCTTCCTGCTTTGCTTCAGAGGTCTGACAGGATCTGGCTTTCACGTGCGCAGGTATGGTCTCTATAGCTGCTACAAGGACCTAACACAGACTTAGGATTTTAATTATGTTAGCATTTCTTCTCAATATTAGCGGTTACAGAGTTTGCTAAGGCTAAGGTAGGCCGGAGTTCAGAAATATCTAGAAATCAAGGGATCTGATTTGTCCATCCTCGTATGGCTCTTATCTAGATTCACAAAGACAAAAAGCGAGCAATTTTTTTTTAATATAAGCACTTCCTTATTGGGTATGATTGAATGCCGGTCAGAACAGGGTGGAGTTTGTATGTTCTCCCCGTGTCTGCGGATGCATCGATTTCCCCTACCACTAAAAACATGCACAATAGTTAAAATCCTCCAGCTCCAGTCCTGACCAAACTGTGTACCGGCATCTGGAGAACGGTCCTGGGCCGCTGTACTACGGGGACCACTGCTCCTGACGAAAGCTTTAGTGGCATCAGGATGGGACAAATGCAGAACACATATTTCCCGACACGGACAATAAAGAGCACATTTACATTTATTTAAGTCTATGCAGCTACCATGTCTTAATTCAGTCAGAGGAAAGTCAAATCTCAGAGACCAACGTGACCAGAAGTATAGCACCATAAATACATGTGGCCTCTTCCTCTGCTCTAGACAAACACACTATCGGAGAATGTAATCTTTAGGGCCGAGACTTTTCTTGATCATTTTCAGTGAGCGTTAAATGTTGGAGTGAGGCTCAGGAGATGAGGCAGACTTGACCCGATCCTCGCGCTCACAAAAACAATGAGGTGTTTACAGACAGAGCTGACCCTGAGTCTCTGCAGTCGAGATACGAGAAGAGACGCAACCATGCGACGACTCCAGTATCAACAGACAGCTGTCATCGAGCGCGACAGGAGCACAGAGGGCGACGACTCAGAGGCTCATCACAGCGACGGGAAATATTTGACAGAACATAATCGTGTACATATTCAGCTTTGCAGATTCCATCATAACAACACCATGGTCTAAAGCTGGACTTAGTAACTATAGTGACAATTACATCATAGAGAGAGCTAGACCCCAGAATGTAGGCATATGATTGGTCAATCCTTATATGGCTCAGAGATTGATCTATAATTCAACACAATCAATAACATGTAGTGAAATGACTAGAAAAACAAAGCATCTGTCTGAGTTTGGTCTAAGAATTAAATCTGGATTTACAAAGAAAACATCACAATGTATACACCAGGATCACTGAGAGCACTGAATGGTGTGACTTAGACCAGAGAGAGAGACCAGAGAGAGAGACCAGAGAGAGAGACCAGAGAGAGGGACCAGAGAGAGAGACCAGAGAGAGGGACCAGAGAGAGAGACCAGAGAGAGAGACCAGAGAGGGACCAGAGAGAGACCAGAGAGAGACCAGAGAGAGAGAGACCAGAGAGAGACCAGAGAGAGACCAGGGAGAGGGAACAGAGAGACGGAATAGAGAGAGACCAGAAAGAGAGTCTTATAGTGCTCTCTACATGTCCTGGTAATGTTTTTGACATGTCAATGCAAATTAGATAAAATCTCACTTCTGAGCCCACTTTTATCAGTCTTGTGCCCTCTTTACATTTTTGGTGGAGATTGAATTTGAATTTTGAGCCTGGCCTCTCCATTGGCTCTGGAGTGATGTGTGACGTCCGTTGCTTTGCGCCTGTGGTATAAAAGCAGCCAAGTGTCACACACGTCCTGTCTGATTTTTTTTGTTTTTTGTGTTACCACGACCAATTCTAAGCCCCCCTTCTTGTCCCCAGGTCCTCTGGGCGCCACCTTTTGAAGATAGAGTTTTAAATTTTAATGTGGGCGGAGTAAGGCTGGGCACTGGTTTAGTTGATCTTTAAGAAGGATTTTCAGCCCAAAAAGGTTAGTTTGACATAAATGGTTACTGAGCTAGAGGAGTTTACTTTTACATGTAAGTCACTAGGAGCCAGAGAGAGTTGGATCAAAACGTCCTCATTGTGTTTCATTGAGCTAGCAGGTTAGCATTGTACATCAGTATAAGGTCAAATTAAACACACAAAAAACCTTATATAAGTTCTTTAAGTATCAAAACAAAAGAGATTCCGACCTGAGCCTCATTGTCCTTCAGCAGGCGTTTGGTCCTTGCTCCTCCAGGGTCGTCCGTGACGTTGAGGACCACCACGCTCTTCTTCTCCCAGCCGATGAAGGAGCCGTCCGTCATCCCCTCAACCATAGCCAGGAAGTCCTCGTAACCATGGTGACGCGTGGTGACCACAGAGAAGGCCGTCCAGTCGTACTCCTCCAGGACCTCGAAGATCACCTCCAGCTGCAGCAGCGTGGAGCAGGTGAACTGGAGGTAGATGGATCCACTCTCCTGGAACCACAGCAGGGAGAAGGTTTAGGAGAGTGACTTAAGAGAGAGACCAGTGAGAGAGACCAGTGAGAGAGGCGGGAGTGACCAGCAAGAGGCCAGAGAGCGAGAAAGAGACCAGAGAGACCAGAGAGAGAGATCAGAGAGAGGGCGGAGAGAGACCCGAGAGGCCAGAGAAAGATCAGAGAGAGGCCAGAGAGAGAGACCAGAGAGAGAAATAGGCCAAATAGAGACTGGAGCAGGTGAACTGGAGGTAGATGGATCAGAGAGATGGTTTGGGATCCGCAGTCAGAGAGTTTATTTGTATAGCGCATTTTGGAGACCATCTTCGCACACTTTTCTTCACTTTTAGTAAGGTTGTAGTGCATAATTTACATGATTTGACCAGGAAGAAAGACCAAGAAATCAGAAAGTTCAGTCTTAAATCTACAGCCTCAGTCCTGGATCTACAGCCTCAGTCTTGGATCTACAGCCTCGGTCCAGATCTCCGATGGTTGTTGGTGAACTTTGTAAAGTCCTTCGAGATGGCTGAAATGGAATCGAGTTTGGACGTGCCTGGGTTGGGGTTAGGAATGTGCAGCCGAAATGTGAACTGTTATGTCTGACACGCTCTCAGCTTTGTTCTTGTTGAATTTGAAAGTGAAAGCGGTCGTTCAAACACATATTTAAACAGAGAGAGTATTTTCCGAGGCGTGGCCGCGCTGTGTGCTTTGTTAATCACCTGAACGCTGCCTGCACCTGTCACCATCACGCCTCGGCTAACTGGGTCACTCTTCTGAAATAAACTCTTTGATCTTTGGACCCTCTAAAAACAAATTGTGTGCAAATCATCGCATTAACCCTCTATCCATCCATCCATTTTCTACCCCTTAATCCATTTCTGGGTTGGGGGGTTGGCAGTCAGAGATGCCACCCAAGTTACAGAGCACCTGCCCCTCACTGATCCTCTGCAGGTGGTGAGTCCACAGGAGGATGGCTGCTCTGTAAATGTGAGCATAGCCATGATCTCTCAGCGGGGGCTTTGGGCAAAGTGGGGTTAAGTGTCTTGCCCAAGGACACAACGACAGCAGACATCAGTGGGAGTCGGTGGAGAAGGTGTCAAGGTGGGAATTGAACCCTTTACAGTTTAATAATAATGATAATTTAGTCTCAGGTATCTGCTTCCTGTGGCTCAGAGATCAGACTTTAAAGACTCGGAGGAGCACAGGGACTGGCCTCCTGCTGGGACTCTGAGGAGCACAGGGACTAAACATGTGGAGCCAGTGTTTCAGATTAATGCAGCTATAATCTGAAACAGTCTTCCCTAAAATGTGTGACAGGCTCCTATTTCTTTACATAAGAGCATTAATAAGGCAAAACAATTTGTTTTATGTTTTTTTAACCCCTTTTTATTATTACATGTCTTTACCAAATGGTTGAGATGCAGTTTGATGGTAGAAGTTCCTAACAAGTGATGCCCCAGTGAGGTCAATTTTAATTCCAAGCTTCAAGTAGATATAGTGACTCAAAAAGAAGTGTCCAAACCGGTCCAGAAAGGGCCGCTGTGGCTGCAGGTTTTCTATCAGACCAAGCAGGAGCAGCGCAGACTCCGCCCATTTCATCAAGTCAGCCCAGTCTTAACCTGAAGATTTGAGGAAATGGGAGGAGTCTTCTCTGCTCCTGCTGGGTCTGATAGAAAACCTGCAGCCACAGCGGCCCTTTCTGGACCGGTTTGGACACCTCTGAGGGTTAGAAAAGTTCTGTTTTGCTGCAACAACTGAAGGACTGTATCTTGCATTAACTATTTTTAATGCACTGTGATTATTCATGAGTTTAAATGTCTTGTTTTGTTGGTTCTCTCTTTTTTTGTTCAGCCCTTTGATTCGCCGTGTTTATAACTGTGCTATGTAGAAAGAGCAGGTTTTCGCACACCAAAAACATGTATGTGTGAGGTGCAGATGCGAGAATCAAAATTTCAGGAAACAGGGTAGCATTGCACTCTCAGCTCAGATGTCCAAAATCGTATTAATTCATGAATAAATTAGTGCTGTCCAACGATTAAAATATTTAATCGCGATTAATCGCATGAATTTCATAGTTAACTCGCGATTAATCGCAAATTAGTCACCCATTTGCGTGCTGTGTGCAATTTCTTTTTTTTATTGAAAACAATGTGTAGTGTTATATTACACACTAACATTTGATGCAAAATCATCAATAAATGGATGACAAAATAAATAATTGGTAACAAAAAGCCCCTTCAATGTGTGTGTGTGTGTGTGTGGAGTGTGTGTGTTTATGGGTGTGGGTGTGTGTGTGTGTGTGGGTGTGTGTGTGTATGTGTGGGTATAGACCATAGACTGTATAGAAACATCATGGTGTCATTATGATGATGATAAACAATTTTTTTGTAAATTTTTTCATGTAAATACTCTATAGTGTTTCTCTGTTTACTTTCGGTATATCTATGACTGTATACTGTTTGCTTGTATTGCCTTTTTTATTAACCCCTCCCCCCCATCTCCCACTTCATGTCCCCCCCCCCCCTCCTATGTGCCCTTCTGGGTTTCTTCTTTGGCCCCCTGTATCTCCAACTACATATTGTTTGTAATCTCTGTCTACAATGTATCTTAACTAGTCCTTTTCTTTGTGTCTATTTTTTTTCTGTATATGTGTTTGTCTGCAATAAAAAGTAAAAAAAAAAAAAAATAAAAAAAAAAAATTTTTTTTTTTTTTTTTTAATAATTATAAAAAAAATTAATGGCGATAAAAAAAATGACGCCGTTAATATTGATTTGCGTTAACGCGTTAATAACGCGATATTTTGGACAGCACTAGAATAAATACGATTTGGGCATCTGAGCTCAGTGTGCAAGGCTAAACTGCGCTACTGTATACCATTAAACTTGCCTTGCCTTAGATGTGTCTGTTTCCCCAGTCCTCCTCAGAGCACAGAGCACATGGAGCATTCTGATGTTTACAGACGCAGAATCGTGCCTCTTTCTCGCTCCCACAGGTAATTAAGCGCTGATTAGAGTCACAGTTACAGACGGATCTCGCGTTTGAATCTCGGAGGACGAGGCTTTCTGAGCAGCAGATTGAATCAAAGCAAGATTTGCCAAAACACGTCCAAGGAGAGACGGAAAGTGGGAATCTGGAGACCCGACGTAATCCACGGAAAATAGATTTGTAATGTGCTTTAGTGGTGATTGAATTGAGATAATTAATTTACAGGCAAAGTTTTTTTTTGTTTAGATTAGCGTCATTTTCTCCCTATAATATAACATTCAGATTCAGATAAGAGATCCTTTATTGATCCCACAGTGGGGAAATGTTGGTTTTGCGTCACAAGTTACAGAACGGTAGGAATGAGGAGCACACAGCACAAGATAAATGAACAATAACTCTATATTAAAATAATATCTGTAATTGTTATAAGTGTTGCTGCTCTCTCTTTGGTCTCTCTCTGGTCTCTTTCTGGTCTTTCCCTGTAGTCTCTCTTGCTCTGGTCTCTCTCTGTGGTCTTTCTCTCTGTGGTCTTTCTCACTGGTCTCTCTCTCTCTCTGGTCTCTCTCTCTGGTCTCTCTATGAGGTCTTTCTCTGTGGTCTCTCTCTCTGGTTTCTCTGTCTGGTCCTTCTCTGTGGTCTTTCTTTCTGGTCTCTCTCTGGTCCCTCTCTCTGGTCTATCTCTCTGGTCCTTCTCTCTGGTCTCTCTCTGTGGTCTTTCTCTCTGGTTTCTCTGTCTGGTCCTTCTCTGTGGTCTTTCTTTCTGGTCTCTCTCTGGTCCCTCTCTCTGGTCCATCTCTCTGGTCTCTCTCTGTGGTCTTTCTCTCTGGTCTCTCTATAAGGTCTTTCTCTGTGGTCTCTCTCCGGTCTCTCTCTCTGGTCACTCTCTCTGGTTTCTCTGTCTGGTCTCTCTCTCTGGTCTCTCTCTCTGTCTCTCTGGTCTCTCACTCTAATATCTCTCTGGTATGTTTTCTTTGCTAATCTCCTTCCTTCTCTCTGCAAACTTTTTTACAAACTGGAGGCCAAACGGGAGGCAGAGAAACATAGCATATCAAAGCGTGGTGTCGTGCAGTGTAGCATAGAGTAGCAAGGCGTAGCATAGCATGGGTTACCTGTGACTCCCGTCCCAGGCTGGCCCCTCCCCCCACGGCCACCACAGGGATTCCGGTCTGAGCCGACACAAACTCCAGCATTGGGGCCAGAGGAGCGCGGTTTGGAGGCGGGGGACGCTCCTCTTCAAACACCAGGCCCTGAACACAAACACAAGCAGATTCAGTTTAGTTTACATTCGCAGTAAAACCACATTGGAATAGATGAGCAAGAGTCCCCACTATGCACCAGATGAAAACCGTTAAGAGGTAGGGCCGGGGTTTGTTTTTCTGTCTCATAGCAACCGACATTGTAAGGCAGTGAAAGCCCTCATTCTCCAAGTTCTCAGAATTGTATTGATCAGATTGGGAGCCGTCAAAAAGACTGGATTTTGAAGTCCAAGATCTTGTGTTTAGCATTCAAGATGAATTATGGTGAAGCAATAAAAAAGCCAATCAATCAATCAGACATTTATTCATTCATTTATTCATTCATACCTTTATCCAGAGCTGGGTTGCAAAGGCAGCAGTCTGAGAAGAGATGTCCAGAGACAGGGAAGTGTGCGTCCATGTTCTCTAGTCTCTCTCTGGTCTCTCTCTCTCTGGTCTCTCTCTCTCTCTCTCTCTCTCTCTCTCTCTCTCTCTCTCTCTCTCTCTCTCTCTCTCTAGTCTCTCTCTGGTCTCTCTCTCTTTCTCTCTCTCTCTCTAGTCTCTCTCTGGTCTCTCTCTCTCTCTCTCTCTCTCTCTAGTCTCTCTCTGGTCTCTCTCTCTCTCTCTCTCTCTCTCTAGTCTCTCTCTGGTCTCTCTCTCTCTCTCTCTCTCTCTCTCTCTCTCTAGTCTCTCTCTGGTCTCTCTCTGGTCTCTCTCTCTCTCTCTAGTCTCTCTCTGGTCTCTCTTTGGTCTCTCTCTCTCTTTCTCTCTCTCTCTCTCTCTAGTCTCTCTCTGGTCTCTCTCTGGTCTCTCTCTGGTCTCTCTCTCTCTCTCTCTCTCTCTCTAGTCTCTCTCTGGTCTCTCTCTGTATCTTTATCAGTGTTGGACAAACAGCAGAGCATCAATAAAGTCAATGAAACATGGAGAATGGATTCTGGGAGAAAGATACAAAAAGCCTAAAGCCCCAAACACTGTTATCGAGTGGAGAACAAGTTAAGCTGCTCACAGACTGCAGATAAGACCAAGGTCTAGTCCAGGTGCCACCGATGGCTCCTGGACCAGACTCACACCGATACCACACCAGTCTCACACCGGACTCACACCAGACTTGCACCTGACTCCGACCGGACTCACACTGGACCCACACCAGTCTCACACCAGACACACCGACACACCAGACTCACAGCAGACTCACACCGGATTTCCACCAGACTCACACCGTTCTGAGGCTCTCACCAGACTCAGAACAGACTGACACCGGACTCAAACCAGTCTCACACCAGACTCACATTAACTTAAAGAGAAATATAGAGATACAAGAATCAATCTTAAACAGAAAAATGAAAACATATATAACACCAACCAGAGATTTGCATTGTTACAGTAATCCAAATACCAGATACATTCATCCTAATGTAACTGTGACTCTCTGGTCTCTCTCTGGTCTCTCTCTGGTCTCTCTCTAAGTCTCTCTGGTCTCTTGCACTGTTCCCGGCCGTCTCTCCATCTGGTCTCTCCTTTTCTGTCCTTTCTCTGGTCACACTCTCTCTGTCTCTGCAGTCTCTTTCTGGTCGCTATCTCTGGTCTCTCTCTGGTCTCTCTTTGGTATCTAGCTCTGGTCCCTCTGGTCTCGTTCTGGTCCCTTTCTCTGGTCTCTCTTTGGTCTCTAGCTCTTATCTCTCTCTGCTCTCTCTCGCTGGTTTCTCCCTTTTCCTCTCTCTGGCCACCTGCTCTCTGTTCTTTCTCTCAGTCTCTCTATGGTCTCTGGTATCTCTACCACTCTTATATTTTCAATTCAACTTTGTCAAGAGATTTTAATCCATCTTTGGCTCAAATTCAGTAAATATTGAAAAATTTCTGCTTGTTTCCCATCCAGCCCCATGTTCGCTCCTTTGTCTTAAAAGTGTATAATTTGACATTTGACAATATTATTTGAACACATGGACTCACTGGCATCGAATCCTAACGTTGGTCAACTTAGTTTTTTCCTTCTTATGTCTGTTCAGGTCCAGTACGTTTTAACATCTATGAACCTCTGCTAACTCTCATACAGTACCTCTCTCCGTCTGTCCATCAATCCATCCTCATTAATGTGTTACAACTATTTGTTTGAAGCTACACGACAGCTTAATGTGGTGTGAGTGACGCAGGAGGAATGGGCCTAAACACCTGACATTCCCATTCCTCTGAGGAGACGCCGGCTGTAATCTAAGGCCTTGTTGATAACTTGTTTTAGCTGTAGGGACACGTGAAGCTGAGCAGGTGTGACAGCTCATTTGTCACGATGGATGGATGTATTGGATGTAAATAAGAGACGGCCATTGGGAAAAAGCCCATGTTGTTAAAAAATAAAAAGAAGAGTGACAGGACAGCACCCAGACGGACAGGAGCATGGATTTATATTAAAGTGTGTGGACCATATGTGTTTGTGTTAACCCTTGTATTATGTTGAAAAAAAATGACATTGATTATGTTGCGGGTCATTTTGACCCGTACTGTGTAAATGCACTCAAAACAGTCAAGAAAACAGATTAAACCAATAACAACTTTATTTTAGGTTATATAAATATTTAGAAAAGTGACATACAATACATTTTTAATTCCAACGCTATATTTAAGAAATATTTAGTCTAATCTTCTTGTCCTCCTCTCGGGTCAAAATGACAATTCTTCCTTCCTTCTTTCCTCCTGTCATGCTTTCTCCTTCCTTTTTCTCATCCTGTTTTCCTTCTATCCGTTCATCCTCCTCTATTCCCTTCTTTTCTCTTCCTTCCTTCCTTCCCTTCTCCCTTCTTTCCTTCCTACCTTCCTTCCTTCCTCCCTTCCTCTTACCTTGACCAAAGATTTGTACTCTGAATCCTCCTTATCGTAGGAAAATTGACAATCTGGATCAGCAATAACACTGTCCTGTCAAATCCTCTGTTTCTCTTCCTCTACATCATTATCCCAGTTAAAATGCTGTGATAAAGCCTCCTCAGATGTCATCCTTCTGGAGCTCATTTTTGGTGAGTTTGTCTAAAGCCTAGCGCACATCGACAGAGTAACTGGAGACAACTAGTTGCAAGGCGGCTTTTGGCAACTGAGAGTAGATGATGGAGATGATCAGTTGAAATCGGTCAATGTGAGCGCTCTTACAACTGGAGATAAACAGTCGATCTCCGGATTCAGTCAAATGCCCGTGTTCTACTTTTCGGCAACTAGTTGTCCTCAGATCCGGAGATATCACCCGATGTGCGCACTCCGTGGCACGCTCTAACAACATGTGTGTATTGTGCGCCCTCTACAGTTTATGTCAGAAAACACACTGTAGTTGAGGCCAGTTGCTGTCGATGTACGCGCTGTTATTCCCAAGACTGGTCTGCTACTAGGAGTTGCCCGTCTTTGCCAGATTGTTGATGTGTGTGGGGCAGCAACTCAAAGGCGACGGATATAATCAGGTGCCAGTCCGATGTACGCTAAGCAAAAGAGATGACATAAGAACAGTGACAAGGACAAGTGTGAGAAAGTTCCCTCTCTTCACACACCTGGCTCTGGGTCTCAGAGGCAATCAAAATACAATGTCAAAGAGACATGTTTTTTTGGATCTGAACAACTATTTACCCACATTTAAGCGTCTGGGTCAAAATGACCCACAACATCATCTTTGTATACCAACTCTGCACAGACATTCCACTACACATCAAAGTGTCCAGATTTTACACACCAGTTCATGACCCTAGATGAGGAAAAGTCACCAAATTTCAGCAAGAAAAAGAAAGGATAACCAGTACTTTGATCAACACAAAAACTGAAATGGGTCAAATTGACCCTTAACATAATACAAGGGTTAAGGGCCAGGTTTGGGTCGTTCCTCTCCTGTTCTATATACACAATGTGATTCTCTGGTCTCATGTTCTGATCTCTCTCTCTCTTGTCTCTCTCTCTCTGGTCTCTCTCTCTCTTGTCTCTCTCTCTCTTGTCTTTCTCGCTGACCTCTCTCTTTGGTCTCTCTCTCTCTCTCTCTGGTTTCTTTCTCTCTCGTTTTTCTCACTGGTGTCTCTTTTTGGTCTTTCTCTAGTCTCTCTCTCTCTGGGCTCTCTCTGATCTCTCTCTGGTATCTCTCTCTGGTGTCTTTCTCTGGTCTCTCTCTCTCTGATCTCTCTCTGGAATCTCTCTCTCTCTCTCTGGTATCTCTCTCTGGTCTCTTTCTCTGGTCTCTCTCTCTCTCTGGATTCTCTCTCTCTCTCTCTGGTCTCTCTCTCTCTGGTTTCTTTCTTTCTCGTTTTTCTCACTGGTGTCTCTTTCTGGTCTTTCTCTAGTCTCTCTCTCTCTGGGCTCTCTCTGATCTCTCTCTGGTATCTCTCTTTGGTCTCTTTATCTTGTCTCTCTCTTTCTCTGATCTCTCTCGGGAATCTCTCCCTCTCTCCCTAGTCTCTCTCTCTGGTATTTCTATTTGCTATCGCTCTCTCTGGTTTCTTTCTCTCTCATCTTTCTCACTGGTGTCTCCTTCTGGTCTTTCTCTAGTCTCTCTCTCTGTAGTCTCTCGCTCTCTCTGGTGTATCTCTGGTCTCTCTCTCTCTCTGGTCTCTTTCTCTCTATGACACAAAGTTCAATGTGATATTTCTCACAATCGTAGACTCTCTGGTTGTCTGCTCCTGTTAAACGTCTATGAACCATGTGTCCATAAAAAAGTAATTTCATGTAAAACAAGTCCAGAGACAGACAGCCCGTCACACGCTGATGAATATGCCATTAAGTCTCTCAGATTCTTGCTTCTTGCTCTGACTCCCATCACTCTGGTCTCTCTCTCTAGTTCCTCTCTGATCTCCCTCTGAGTTCTTTCCCTCTGGTCTCACTCTCTCTCTCTCTGAGGTGTCTCTCACTCTGTAGTCTCCCTCTGGTCTCTCTCTGGTCTCTCTCTGGTCTCTCTCTGAGGTCTTTCCATCTGGTCTCTCTCTTTCTCTCTCTGAGGTGTCTCTCACTCTGAAGTCTCTCTCTGTAGTCTCCCTCTGGTCTCTCTCTGAGGTCTTTCCATCTGGTCTCTCTCTCTCTCTCTCTCTTTGAGGTCTCTTTTTCTGGTCTCATTATGATCTCTCTCAGGGCTCTCTCTCTCAAAGGTCTTTATATCTCTCTCTCTCTCTCTCTGAGGTCTCTCTCCCTTGTCTCTCTATGTGGTCTCTATATGGTCTCTCTCTCTCTCTCTCTCTCTGAGGTATCTCTCTCTCTTTGGTCTCTCACTCTCTTATCTTATTCTTGCTCTAGCTTTCACTTCTCACATTCACCTTGTGTCTTGCATAAAATCAATCAGTTATCTCTTCCTGCTGAGTGACATGTGTGTGTTTCAGATGAGTGCGTTGTCAGGGTCAAACGCTGTTGTGTGTTTGAATTACGAATGAGCTGCTGTACATTCAGTTGTGTTGACATCAAAAGACCATTGTGTTTTATATATTAAGCCCTTGTTGAGAAGTGTAGAATAATAAATGGCCTCTTGTGTGTTTGTTTGTGTGGGGGTGTATATGTGTGTACCTGTAGTGGAGTTGTGTTGAGCAGCTCACACAGCTGCAGCAGCAGGGCCCCCGGGCTGCTCTCGTTGACTGACAGGTAGATGACGTTGGCTTGTCCTGACGGTGTCATGACGGTCTCTCCAACCAGCGCCGCTAACGACGGCAACGAGACCAACGAGGCAAGAGAGGAGCTGTCAATCACACCCCTCCCCCCTGCGGCCCCTGTAGACCCTGCAGATCCTGGCTCCGCCCCCGGCCCCGCCCCTGGTCCCACTCCTGGTCCAGCCCCTGGCCCCGGCCCCGCCCCTGGCCCCCCCGCGGCTGCTGTCTCTGGGAGCAGGGAGGAGCTGGAGTGGACCACGGCGATGTTGACCCCGCCCGAGTCCCTCTCTCTCTCCCGAGGCCGGAGCAGCAGAGGGGGCGAGGGCCGCACGGGCCCCCAGCAGGCCAGCACAGCCAAGAGCAGCGACAGGAAGGGCCCTGGGGCCACCATGAGGCACAGGGGCCAATGGCAGCGGTGGGAGGGGCCAGTTAGGGCTCACAGGACGAGAGAGGAGGAGAGGTCACAGGGCTTCACCTGACCAGAGCGCAGCCTGCAACACAAACACACACAAACACACACACAGACAAATTAGACCATCTCAACATTAAACAAACACACAAACACACATGTTAGTATTTGAGACAACCTCAGTCCTAATTCTACAGCTGCTTTCAGCACCACGGACAGCTCTGGAACTGAGGCAAACTCTCCTGAACTTAAAACAGGACCAGACACAAGACCAGCTCTGGTCTGAAGAAACACTGAAACAAACTGAAACAAACTGAAACAAACTGAAACAAACTGAAACAAACTGAAACCAGAGCGACAGGAGACTCCTGCTCTACACCAGGTGCACTTTGAAACATTAGTATTTTACAGCACTGTTCCACTGGTTCTCATTGGTTCCATGTACACAACATCAGGATAAATATAAATGAACCAAAAAATAAACTACGTACTATTCATTCGTTCAATCACAAAAAAACTTGGAAAAAATATTGGACCATGTGATAAAACTTTTATATGAGTAAATCATCCATCAGCACCGAGCAATCTACCACCAACAAACAGTATCAGGGGAAATTCCTTGGTAACCATGGCTCCCAGCAGCACTCTGGCCAATAACTGTCAGTTAGAAAACTTTAGAGCCAGCTTGGCCTGGATAGAACCAGGACCAAGAGGGACTAAAGAAGGACCTAGCACTACAGTATACTAATAATAATGCATCTGTTTTATATAGCGCTTTTCTGGACACTCAAAGAAGCTTCACATGTGTCATTCTTTCACTCCAAACACGGTGGTGATAAACTACAACTGTAGCCACAGCTGCCCTGGGGCATACTGACAGAAGCGAGGCAACCTGTCTGTGCCATCGGCCCCTCCGACCACCACCAACCATTCACACACAGACCAGACTCATTCTAGGCAATGAGGATAAAGTGTCTTGCCTTTAGGGTTAAAAGGGTAAAGAGCAAGCGTAAACGTTTTTGTGTTTTTGTACAAGGTGTACAAACGTGGAATAAATTGAGTGTGCAACTTAAGGAATGTCCAAATTTAGCAATATTTAAAAAAAGGTTTTAAGGAAATTACATTTGAAAAATATCAAGAGGAAAGTATGTCATACAAATCTAGTAGTGTTTTCCTACTGTAGGGGTTGACTCTAAAACACCAGCGTGGACTTTGGGATTTTAGGGGTTGATGTTGCAGTGGTGGGTGTAGGCGCTGTCTCTCTGGCTGGGCCTTTGGTGTGGTAGGTCAGTACTATAGTATATATATATATATGTGTGTAGATACGTATATGATGTATGTATGTATGTGTATATAGATACATATTTTTATATATATATGACAAATTAACAACTTTAGTATGTGTGTATGAATATTGTATACATATGTATAGTTATGTCTGTATGTATGTGTGTGGGAGGGTATGTGCAACCGTACAAAGTGAATATAGGTATAGGGGGTGGGAGCTGATAAGCTTGACTTCTTCCCACTCCTTTTTGAGCTTTAACAGGAGTGGAAAAAATAAATAAATTAAGAAAAAAAAGAAGAATAATAATATATATATTTATGTATGTATGTATGTACATTTCTATCATGTGCATTTCTTATATGTAATTGCTGTTAAAACTAAAATGGATTCCTGTTTATAAGCTTGAAATAAAATACAATCAATCAATCAATCAATTGTTCAATCACAAAAACTCAATCATCATAAAATAAAAGACTACCGGATTAATTTTTGACTTGAGTAATGAAAAAAAAAGTGCTTTATATAAAAATCCAATGCCTTATGACCCATCAGCGGGAGTACAGATTCAGCACCATGGACAGCTCCATCTGATACACTTGCACTGCTTTTTCCGACAAAAAACATCTTGTCCATCAGCTTCAGCTCTTAACAATTACTGCCACATGTGACATCTGCCAAAAGGAAAGGTCTGTGCTAAACCCACAGTGTGACAGAGACTGAGAGGAGCCTGAAGCAGAGACTGAAGCAGAGACTGAGGCAGAGACTGAGGCAGAGACTGAGAGGAGCCTGAAGCAGAGACTGAAGCAGAGACTGAGGCAGAGACTGAGGCAGAGACTGAAGCAGAGACTGAAGCAGAGACTGAGGCAGAGGCTGAAGCAGAGACTGAAGCAGAGACTGAAGCAGAGACTGAGGCAGAGACTGAAGCAGAGACTGAAGCAGAGACTGAAGCAGAGGCTGAAGCAGAGACTGAAGCAGAGACTGAAGCAGAGACTGAGGCAGAGACTGAAGCAGAGACTGAAGCAGAGACTGAGGCAGAGACTGAAGCAGAGACTGAGGCAGAAACTGAAGCAGAGACTGAAGCAGAGACTGAAGCAGAGGCTGAAGCAGAGACTGAGGCAGAGACTGAAGCAGAGACTGAAGCAGAGACTGAGGCAGAGACTGAAGCAGAGACTGAAGCAGAGACTGAAGCAGAGACTGAAGCAGAGACTGAAGCAGAGACTGAGGCAGAGACTTAAGCAGAGAGATTAGATTTTAGTTGTTTTATAAGAACACTTTGGTTTGAGATGACCTTTGGCATTTAAAAAAAGTATTTAACGCTTCTTTATCCCTGTTGCCTCGGTAACTAAAACCACATACCACACAAAAATACAGTGTTGTGCATCCCATTCTCCTCTCTCATCTCTCTCTCTCCTCTCTCTCCCCTGAACCGTTTGATTCTCTAAACTGTTGTTGACAAATGAATGTTAAAACATCATAAACAAAACAAAAATCCTTCATCACACTTATTCTACGAGTCTCTGTCTCAGTCCCAGTCGTTCAGTCTCTAAAGCAAACATTCTCTAGTTAACTGCAGCATGATCGGCAGTCAGACCATCGGAGTGTGGCTCGGTGTGTCGTCAGGCCACAGACCTCAGGAGAAATACTCGCTCTTATCTCCAAGATTCCTGTCGCCACTCACTGGAATTGTGTTGGTTTAATTTCAGTCGTTTGGACTCAGAGGCAGGCGGCCATTTTGGAGAGGACCAGTGAAAGTAAAGAGTAAAAGAACAAGCAAAAAGGCTGTTTTATCGTACGCAACACAACTGTCATAGAATACAGCAACACAACTGTCATAGAATACAGCAACACAACTGTCATAGAATACAGCAACACAACTGTCATAGAATAAAGCAACACAACTGTCATAGAATACAGCAACACAACTGTCATAGAATAAAGCAACACAACTGTCATAGAATACAGCAACACAACTGTCATAGAATACAGAAACACAACTGTCATAGAATACAGAAACACAACTGTCATAGAATACAGCAACACAACTGTCATAGAATACAACAACACAACTGTCATAGAATACAGAAACACAACTGTCATAGTTCATTCATTCATCTTTGTGAATCTATGAAATGCTGTTGATCAGTTGTGCGTTGGCTGCAAAGCACTGTTTTCGTTGTTTTTATTTATTGCATAATTTTATTGCTGTACATTATAGTATGTTGCTATGGTAACCTTCTCTAGTTCAGTCCAAAATAGCAAAAGGGCTAGAGCCTCTTGTTATCCATAATCTTTGGTGAAAGTGTGTGATTTTAATGCAAATAGTATCACACCAAAGTCCCTTCCGGTTCATCAGCCGGAGCCACCTACAGGTGTCAGAGGGAATTGCAGCATAATACAATCTATTATAAACATGTTTGAAGACTGTATGTAGATGGACAATGCTAACCTGCTAGCTTTGTTTCCCTCCAACTCTCTCTGGCTCCTATCGACAGGGGTGGACATGGGGCGTATCGGGCAATGCCCAAAGGGCTGATGCCCATATTTGGGCCGGCCTGTGAGCCGCATACAAAAGATGTTTTAGAGAAATGTGTAAATCTGTTAAGAAATGTTTGAAGGGCGTGCATGACCACAGGGCTCTTGCTGTGGATTGCTGTATGAACTCAAATGGGATTCCACATCCTCCGCAGCCTTTTGCAGCAGCTGCGGCCGCTTTGGACAGCGGTTCACGCTGCCTGTGAGCCGCTTTGACAACAGCACGGCAGCACGCAGCCCTAACGTGGCCTTGTACCCAAGACCATATACACACAAGACCATACTGTGCTTGTTGTGTGCCTGTCTTTGCGTAACAAGTTCATGCAATAAATACAGCGCTGTAAGAAATGTTCAGTCAGCATCTTCCTTGTGTCTCTTCCCAAAGCACAATTAAACTCGCTAATTTAAAGCTGGGGTATTGTACATTTTCCTCTTGCATTAACAGTTCATGTGGTTGTGCCCAAAAGTAAAATGTTGTGAACAAATCAAATAGATTTAATGACAGCCATTGGCTAACATTTCACATTTCAGACTTCTTTGAAAACTCCCATTCTCATCCCTGTAACAAACAATATGGTGCTAAGTCCGTCTGCCTCACTCTGTAGTGACATGTTTATTCATCTCAATGTAGATCATTGCACTTTATTATAATTGTTGAAACAGCATATATCCTGAGCCTCTACGGTATGTGCTTCTGCATACTGTCAGAATAGCTGTAAAAATGCAAAATTTGCCCAGGCCGTTTTTTGGTCCCAGTCCAGCCCTGTCTATCGACATGTAAGAGTAAACTCCTCTAAAGGTTTCAGTAAAGGTTTGTGTCCGCAGTTCACCTTAACAACCGTCTTAGCAACCATCTGCCCCTGTAATGGTGCAAAGCTAACACCGTCAGTACACATGCCCATATAAGGAAATTGGCTGTAGTCTACCTCTTCTGCTTTAAGGCTGGTTTGTTCACAGCATGGTACTTTTAAAGCTCTTTCGGATTGGAATAATGAGACATGAAGTCTGTTCCATGTTTCTCTAAATACACAATAACATTCCCTCAACAATCCTCCAACTTTTATTCACCTCCTAAAACCAAAAACAGATTGGTTTGAGAACAGTTTGGTGTGTGCAGACACTGGTTCAGATCCACTTCCTGTGCGTCTGGCCCAGTTTCCTG